TCATTCATGATAGCCGTTTCCGGGCCGAGATTTGATCTCGGGACCTACCGAATACAAAGCAGGAGTGCAAACCAGCCGGCCCCGACGTTCGGTAACAGGTTACCGAAATTCGTGTTTACTAAAACTAGGACATTTCATTTCATCAAGCTGGTATCACAGCAGTTAAAAATGTCTGAATTATTATTCAGCTATCAGAATTTATATCTTCTGTTATCAGTCGATCAATAATGAAGTTTGAAACATTTAATTCCGAAGAAGTTTGTCGGGATCCCCTGGTGAGGAGAATGATCATAGAAACAGATCTTGGTCTGAAGACGTTCCTCTGGGTCCTGGCGCCGTGTAGACTCGTCGGCAGATACGAACTCCATCTTCTGTGCTGATGATGGAGACAGTATGTTTCTCCGAAATCCTTGAATCTACAGACGAGTCTACACGGCGTCAAGACCCAGATGAACATCATCGTTACCCTCACCGCCGTGACATAATCAAATCTGACGAAGTTGTTAGCCGTCCTTATGGAACTGTTCTAGCATTTGCCTGGAGTGACTGAGGAAAACGACAACCTAAGCAGGACGATCGGTTTCCGGCCTCAAGAGTCAAATCCGATGCTAACGAGCCATCCGTGTCGTTAGGATGGATATTTCTTGCCTACTCGCAGCGTTAAATTATTCGTGTTTTTGTTCCCCTCCTTTGGTTATTACGAACAGTCGAGAGTCAAACCAAGCAGTCAGTCTTGTTTGTTTCATTATTTAGCTACAGGAACGGCAGATGTTCGGGACCCCCAAATGAGAGACGCCGAGGCTGAATCTGGAGGGAAATGGGCGGAGATGCCATTCATTTGTTGGGATTGAGAGAAATCACAAAACAGCAACCAGTTCCCACTGCCCTTCCAACTACTGTATCATTACAACGTTACATCCTGTGTCCTTATAGAAACGTATATCACGCCCTGATGATGGAGGCAGCAAGCATCTCTGAAACGTCGATAAAAATCTACGGCGCACCAACCCAGAACACAACCGTCTTCAAATTTGTATTTATTTTAGCCGTCACACAAGCATTTAATTTTAATTTTTCTCGATCTAAATCGACCGTCAACAACTTACTACCACGCACGATGCAAAAATAATTGTTTATTGAGCTGCTGATTTTATCAATTGCAAGATATGCATTTGAGGTACTCCACTCATTTACAATATTAATGGACAAAATTTCACATGCGTAAAACTTTCTGTTGTTGTCTTTAATATTTATTGTAGTTCTTAAAATATTATAAACACATATTTTATAACGTCTTATAATTTTCTTCGGTTTCGTCAGATGGCTCTCGGAAAGCGTCTTCAAAGTTACCTCCTCTCGTATTCTGAAAACCGCCGAGCGTTCATCATCATCTCCGTATTTGATAGGATGCAGTAGTATTTATGTAGTCGAAGCGTCGTCAACACTTTAAAGTAGTCCACGACTGTAATCTTGAGACTTGCGGGGTGAGAGCGTCTGCCTTTAACGCTACGGACTTCCTTCATTCCTTGCAAGTCTCAAGATTACAGTCTTGGACTGTACAGTGGTTACTATAGATACCACGTACTTGTATTTTTCCCACAGAGTATTTATGGGTTCAATTTGATTTTCACTGTGAACAGCCATTATTTCCGTAAACACCACTTATAAATAGTTGGTCTTTGTTTTTGTGAAGTGCTGTGTTTTCTTTGAGGTCGGGATTGAATTTTTCAAATATAATTTAGATCAGCTTCATGCTCTAGAGCAGTGGTATTCAACCTGGGGTACGCGAAGACATCTTAGGGGGTACGTGAAATTTAAAAATATATATATTATTTTATGATAAACACTGAATAATCAGTAATGTAATTTATTTAATTTATTTTAGATGTAGATTATATACTATGTATAACTTGAATTATACACCAACAACTTTGGGGGTACAAAGTTGAAGAGAAATTATATCTGGGGGTACGCGAACAAAAATGGTCGAATACCACTGCTCTAGAGGATTAAGGAATCAATGAAAGAAGAAACATTTGTGTTTTATGTATACGTCAGCGTAAGTTTACCTGGGATCCAGACAACACAGTTGCTGGCACCAGGATGTATCTACCGGGTGGCGAACGCAAGGGTTCGGTTGATGACTGTTGTTTATGTTCTGCCCCTCTGTCTGTCTGTCTGTCTGTCTGTGTGTATGTTCCGTATCGCTTCGTGTTCCACTTGACTCAACCACGCTACAGGGAAAGTGGACTGGGGCCCAGTAATTACCATATTGCCGTCCCTAACCCAGGAAACGTGTAACCGTTCTACCTCGCACACAAACGAACAGGAGATGAATCAAACTCGTTATTTTAGGATTTTATTGACTTCTTAGTGATGAAGTTGCCCTGGCAAAGTGGAAGGGAGGACACGAGCGGTAGGTGGAGTGGAAAACAGTTGTAATTTAATAACAAGATTCTTTGCATAACGCTCTGCACAGTCCGGAAAAAGTAATAATGTTAAGAGTAACTACCACTTTCAAGAGGACGGTGAGTGGTAAACTTGGTTCTAAAACGCTCCGAAGTCGCTTTGCATCTTTAATAAACTCTCTGTGTATCGTTTAAATCACCCATAATAAACACAGGAATTAACTTGAATTTACAAGTAATTGTTACTAAAACAAACAGACTTTCAAATATTCTATCAGGGTTTTTTTAAATTACCTTGTTTAAGATTATACTTTTTGTTTTCGGACATTTGTAACGCTAGATTATCACACCCGCTTCGTATTCGGGAGATTCCTGGTTCATATCTCTGCCCGGAAATTTTTCGTGCTTATCTCAGGCTCTTCAAGCAAATGTAGGGATTATTATTATTATTATTATCATTTAGTGTTCTGTCTGACGACAGGTCCATATGAACAGGATCCTTCCATCCTTTTCTCGGCCTGGGACCTGTTCATATACGTTCTTGGCAGATGATCCAGAAGTGGTTTGCCATTGCCTTCTTCTGTGTGTGAATGGAGTAATTGTTGGGATGCCACGGAGGAAAACTCCGTGTTGCCTAGACCACGGCCTTGCCCAACACAAGTTATAAATTCGGGCACCGCCGGGAATCGAACCCGAGACCCCAGGATTACAAGGCCAGCGTTCTAACCGCTAGATGACTACAGTTCATTCCAAGTTTATTAATCATTAATGATCCTACCATTCGAGGCTAAAGTCTGAGTTACTAGGAGCGTTGTTGCTTGAACTACAGAATACTGCGAGGTACTTAATGCTGCACGTGTCTCGGTAGTCCTTTTTTTAGAGAGAGAGAGAGTGACTACAAACACAAGTTTCATTTGTGATGGATGCTATTCGGTACTTTTGGTGGCAACGCAAAGTAAAAGCAAATACATGACCTAAATTTCGACATATCCAATGTCCTTATGAACACAGGAGGAAGTAAGCACCTCTGAAACGTCGGTCAGATTCTGCCAGATTTACATGGCATAACATCGTAGAAGACAGGCATCTTTAATCGGGGTATTTTATTCTTAAAAAATATCTAAAGGACTTCATTTATATCTTAAGACATTTATTTATAAATTTATTGACCAGTTAATTGTTTGAACTGAAGCCGTGTCCCTATGAAACGTCGGTATCTGCCTATAAGTCTGTCGAGGTCACAACTTAGAAGAAGAACATCGTCAGCTTCACCACCGTGAGAAGATAAAATCTCACTTCTAGGATTTCAGGCTTTCACGGCGATGAGCACGAAGTTGGCTGTCTTCTGGGTTGTAGCGCGGTGTAGTCTGGTAGAAGTTTACTGACGTTTCAGAGATCTTCATCGCCCTGATGATGGAGGGCCCCTGAAACGTTACACGGCGCTACAATCCAGAAGATAGCAATCTTCCTAATCTCACTTCTGTAATGACTGCGTTGCATTAAACTGTCTTTTTAATCACAATAATTGCAATCTTTGTTTCGCGTAACTGCGAGTCGCCTTGTCCTCATCACTAAGATCGCTTTGCCGTCACGATCCACCGTCAAACAACGCAGTCTTTCCTGAAATCGCGTCTCTATTGTTCGTAGGACGGAATGAGAACCCTGTCTTGTCCAGGTTCGGGGGTTACACAGAGCGGAGACACCGCAATCACTTGAACAAACTCCGGCGCTCAGTTGTGATCTTGAATCACGCTAACACCTCCTTTATCCCTTCCCCTTTTAACTGAGCACCATTATTTTAATATTCTGTCGACCAGATCGGGAGAAAACTTTTGTATTTGTATTATGTGGGTTTTGCAATGAAGAGAACTGGTATTGGCGATGTGGAGGAGGGACTCCCCTTGTTTTATAAAGACTCTTGAACGCGTAAGCTTCTGAAATGGGGAGAGGGATAATTTTACAATTGTGTATTCTTCTCTCAGGTGTCATAAATTATTCCAAAATTTAAGGTGTCAATAGTAAAATATCATAATGAGATCGTAAATATAAATCTGTAGTACTCGTTACTCATTCTCTCATCTATCCATCGACGCCTATTGGCTTAGTCTATTAAATACTCAACATGAAATAAAGTTTCGTAACTTGTACTATTCTCGCAATAGGCCTGTCGCTGGGTTAAATCAAGAAGGATGTCATGTAAGCATGCGTCAGGCCTACATATGAAGATTTAGTCTGAAAACACGAAGCAAAACTTTTGCTTGTGATCTTGAGGGTTGTGACGCCGTAAAATCTGGTGGTGGTCACCAACGGTTCGGAGAGTTGAATGAACCCTGACGATGGAGGTGATGCATTTATTCGAAACGTCGAAAATCACCAATACTACTACAGGGCATCAGAACTCAGAAGACCTTGATGGATATGTTAGGGGTGAATGCAGATGGGAGGCTTTTGTGAATACGATAATGAACCTTTTTTTGTCATGTTTTCAAGGAAATCTATCTGCGAGGATAACGATGTTCTTCTGGGTTGTGGCGTCGTATGTGCGAGTCTTCCCTTGCCTTCGTATTCTGTAAGGCGTTTCTGTTGTTCCAGAATACTAAATCCTGAAGACAAACGGGGTTTGGAGCAGTCGCGGACGGGCCCTGCGATAATACAAGACGAAATTATTCAGTGCCTCCCAACACCTGCAGCTATGGCACTGAATTTGGATACGAAACATGGTAAGAGGAACGTATAAACTTATTTCTACCACAACAGCATCTGACGTAACGTAGCATAGCCTGATCTTAGAAGAACAAATAGACTGAATTATGTATGTGAACATGAAGATTATTATTTTTAAGCGATTCGTTGTCAGTGCTGTTATATTGTGGATTTTGTTCTGAGTGTGACGTCGTTTACATAAGCGCGTAGATACTAAGTAGGATTTGAGGTTTTCACGGCGGTGAGTCCGAAGATGGTAGAAGATTGTCGACGTTTCCAAGGTCCTTGATCTCCGTTGATGGGGGCAGCGAGGACCTCTGAAACGTTGGTGAATTTCTACCAGGCTAATCGGCGCTACAACCCAGAAGACAGCCAAGCCATCCTAGGCAGATACTAATGCCGTGAGAACCTCAAATATCTTATTATAAATGAACGTTCGGGTTCCATAACAGCGGGAAATTTGTTGACAAGTGAGGATCTATGAAATTTTGAAGGTAGTCTCTGCGGCATGTGAATTGTTTTCGTCGGTCCTTCAAACAAAATATAAAACTGGGAGAGACGAAGGCCGCTTGTTTTCCACTCTCGTGCAGTAGACCATCGCCATTCCTCATTCCCCCCCATCCTCAGTTTGTTCGGAAGATGAGTTGCTACTGACCTC